ACACACACAGGCTGTGTGTATAGACACACACACACACACACACACACACACACACACACACACACACACACACACACACACACACACACACACACACACACACACACACACACACACCAGTCCCGACATTTAAATTCGCTCTTTTGGAACTGTGAACGCGACGCACATCTCATTCGTGCAACCGCATTTCCCCCTTTCTCACCCCCCCACACATGTACACATCATCATACCACACCATGACCACCGCACACCACCACCACCGCCATCAGGCGCCTGCCCGACTCTGATGTGTTTGGGGGCCGCCGGTTTTTCGTTGCGCCGTCTGTTGCCAAGTTCACCAAGAGCATCACCGCCATTGTCACCAAGACCAACGGCCGCATTGTCCTCGAACCCTCAGACGCAGGTACCAAACCATTGCCACTCGTGACTCTCATACTGCACTGTTGGCGATGATGTCATGAAGTGTTTGTTGTGCTTGAAGTGTTATTTGTGTCTAACGTGTTTGTTGTGTCGTCATTGCATCTGCACTGTCTCCTCCTCCCCACCTTCTCCTGCTCACTGCTTTCTCGCTCTCGTCCGCGCTCCCCGCGTGCTCGTTTGTCGTTGTCCCTTGTATTCAGACACGGTGGTGTGTTCGCCATTTGAGCCGGATGTGCAGCAATTCTGTGCGTCTGCGGAGGCCGTCACCATCTGCTGGCTCGAGCGATGCGCACACGACAAGACCCTCTACAGCCCGCACAGCCACTACCTATATAAGCCACAGCCGGTGTGTCTTTGTGTGTCTTTGTGTGTGTGTATGTGTGTGTGCATGTCTTTGTGTATCTTTGTGTGTGCGCGCGCGTGTTTGTCTTTGTGGCGTTGCTTCCGCGCCGTGAACAATACTCACGACGCTCTCATTTCCATGCACACACACACACACACACACGACACTACAGCCACCACGAGAGCCACACAACCTGAAGGGCGTGCGCGTTGCGTTCTCCGGCTTTCTCTCCTTCCACCGCGACCACCTCACGTCCATGGCGAAACACCTTGGCATGATTGTGGTGCGTTGTATCGTGTTGTGCATACTGTCTGCTGTAACTTCTCCTCCTCTCCCGCCGCACAATATTGCACACACGCACACTCACTCACTCACTCACTCACACTCACTCACACTCACTCACACTCACTCACTCACTCACTCACTCACACCGCCACACAACACACCACAACATCTGTGCGTGTGCAGGGCATGTCGCGCAAGTGCAACTACGTCGTGTGCGCAGACACGAGCGCGTCGCAGTATGGCAAGGCGGTGAAACAGAAACTCAACCCCGTCAGTGAAGGTGAGGCACAACAACCACATTTGTGTACTGCTGTTGTCGCTTGCGTAGAGGTTGTTGTTGTTGGTTTGTGGTTGAAACCCTCCGACACCCGCTATTTCCTTTCACACTGATGCACACGCACACTGATGCACACATTCCTCCCCGACCACTTTAGAATGGTTGTTTCAGAGCATCTCCACAGGACAGGTGCAGGAGCCAGGCGCCTTTCCTCCACCGCCAGCAAGCAGCGATCATGTGCGTGAATCTGTGTTGTGTGTTTGTGTGTTTGTGTGCGCACGTGTGTGTACGTATGTGTTGAGTGTAGGTGTGTGTGTACGTGTGTGTGTACGTGTGTGCTTTTAGCTTCAACTGGTGCTTTGTAACTCACATTGCTCGTCTCTGTTGCGCATGTCACAGAAACAACAACAACAACAACAACAACAACAACAACAACAACAACAACAACAACAACAACAACAACAACAACAACAACAACAACAACAACAACAACAACAACAACACCAACAACAACAACAACAACAACAACAACAACAACAACAACAACAACAACAACAACAACAACAGCAGCAGCAGCAGCAGCATGGCATGAGCGCACCACACTTCAACGTGCAGTCAGCTCTTGCTGCGTTACAAACGCCAGGTAAGAACCTGCTTGTGCGCGTGTATCTGCACCCTGTTCTCTTTCTTGTCTGCATCATCCTCACTGCCACCCGTGTATTTACCACCACGCCTCCTCAGCACGGCCATGTCCACCGGCCAGCACGACAGATACGCCAACGGCGCTCGCGGCCATGGTCAGCAGCGGCCTCTCAACTGCAGTGAGTCGCACACACACACACACACACACACACACACACACACACACACACACGTGCAGGTGTTTTGGTTTCTCCTTCCCTTTGCTTGCTTGCCGCTTCTCTCGCTCACCCTGCTGTGTATGTCTGCGTGTCAGTTATCGAATGCTCAGGCTTTTGCTGCTCCAACTGAGGTACGACCCTTTGAGACGTATGTACATGGACACACACGCACACATGCACACATGCACACACACTCACTCACGCATTCACACCAACTCACACCTTCCTATCCACCTGTTCTGCTTGCAGCGAAATCTACAGCTGCACGAGGAGCGGTTACAGCAGCAGTACGATAGCAACGCTGGGCCTTTGCATGGGTGCTTCATTGCGTTTGGCAAGAAGACGCATGCGCACCTGCACAGATACCAGGCGCTTGCCCAGGAACTTGGGGCGGAGACGACGCTGACGTACAAGAAAGGGTGCACGCACCTCATTCACATTGGCAAGCAGAGTGATATCAGCACCGACGTCCGCAACGCCCGCACAAACCTCGCACACATTGTTCACCCCGAGTGGCTGGTGAGCTCATGCCGCTTTGTTGTTGTTGTTGTTGTTGTTTAAGTTGTTGTTGTTGTTTAAGTTGTTGTTGTTGTTGTTTAAGTTGTTGTTGTTGTTGTTGTTGTTGTTTAAGTTGTTGTTGTTGTTTAAGTTGTTGTTGTTGTTGTTGTTGTTGTTTAAGTTGTTGTTTAAGTTGTTGTTTAAGTTGTTGTTGGTGTTGTTGTTGAACACACATGTCCGCACAGTCAGCAAGCAGCCTTCACACACACGCACACACATACAACAAAAAAGCCATACATGCACTCACTCACCCATACACACACACACACACACACACACACACACACACACACACACACACACACACACACACACACACACACACACACACACACACACACACACACACACACGATGCCAGGACGAGTGTGCGCTGACGCGGCGGTGGGTTGCAGAGTCGTCATTTCCGCCGTCATTCAAGCGCGGATATGCGCTGCCGGAGGTGCAGGGCGGCACACCACGCTCTCCACGCAAGAAAGGCACGCAGCACGACACACTGGGCGATGGGGATGGTGGAGGAGTGAATGGGCAGGGTGCAGCGTCGGCGGGGCTGTTGTCGTCGTCATTACGCGTGCAACCGAGCGTTCCACTGCCCCAAACACCGGAACAAGCAGCACAACAGCAGCAACAGCAGCAGCAACAACAGCAAGAGCCAGTAACACCCGCCCGTAACACTGCCTCCGAGAGCGTGCATCTGCTGCAGTCGCCATTCACGCCGATTGCGGCCCAGATGTCTGGCGGCCAGAGCGCTGTATCGACAGTGGCCCGCCCAACACGCCCTGGGATGCCACAACAACAACAACAACAACAACAACAACAACAACAACAACAACAACAACAACAACAACAACAACAACAACAACAACAACAACAACAACAACAACAACAACAACAACAACACGCGTATGGGTCTGTTTGGGAAAAGGTCAAGCCAAACACCAATACCAGCGTCAACACATCCACTGACACAGTGGACACCAGCGCTGCTACCGATACGACAGCAAAAACCCCCACAACAACAACAGCAGCAGCAACCAGAAATGCCACCACCGCCATTACGACCACGACGACGACCACCACCACCACTGCTGGTGCCATTGTGGACGACGCGGTGGCGTTGCAGTTTGATCAGCTGATTAAAGCGACGGAGCAGCGGCGAGTGCGGCGAATGTCCTCTGCTGTCTCATCGCACTCGCGCTCCAGGCCCAGCAGTGCAATCACAACACAGGCTGTTTCTGCACCAGACCCCAGCAATGCTGCCGCCGCCACCGCCACCACCATTCATGCATCAGCAACAGGCAAGACCACGACGTCAGCGGTGAGGCTGGGCCGACCAGCCAGCACCTCAGCCATTCTCAACACTTCGGCCGTCAGTGCTGGCACGCACAACGCCAACAACAGCAGCAGTAACCAGGGACAGCAGATTGCATTAAATCGTGCGCGCAGCAGCGGCAATTTGCCCACGGGCGCATCCAACTGGCGCCCTCCACCGCCACTCGCCTCCCTCAGGCAGTTTGGACACAAGCAGAGCAGTCGCAGTGCTGCTGGTGCTTGTGGCGGTGGTCACGGTGGTGCTGGTGGTATGGGGCGTGGTACACAGGACAGCGACGATGATGATGACGATGAAGATGAAGACGATGAAAGTGAGGAGGATGAGGAGCAGGCCGCGGCGGCAGAGGCTGAACGACTGCCACCATCTCTACCGGTGCCAACAGATGACCTGGCGGACCATCTCTCGCAGACGGCAGTGACATATGCGGACCCTATGCAAGCGCACCGGTTGCGGCTGCTGGCGCGGCTCAAGAACACGCCGTCGCGCACCAACACGCGCCCTCCCTCATCAGGTGCAGGCGGTGCAGGTGAAAATGGAGGCGAGGGCGAAGGTGGAAACAAGGCCAGCTCACCAGGGAATCAAGATCAGCAGCAAGCACAACAGCAGCAACAACAGGGGCGGTCGTCGTCAGCAGCTGCATCGCCAAGTGCACGTAAGTCCCAACAGCAGCAACAGCAACAGCAGCGACAGCAGCAGCAGGCGGGGGTGAGCCGGCCCACGTCTGCATTGGCGCAGAGCAGCAACGGTCGCGGGAGCATGGACATGGCACGCCTCAGCAGTGGCACCCACACCGGCCAGCAACAGCAACAGCAGCAGCAGCAGCAGCAACAGCAACAGCAACAGCAGCAACAGCAACAGCAACAGCAGCAGCAGCAAAGAGGAGAGGTGTCCTCGGCGAAGCGGTCGCACGCCAGCAGTACCAGCCAGCGCGACGGCGAACAGGACCATGCGCGACAGCGCGCAAAGCGGTCATCACACCAACAACGTGATGGGGCAAAGGAGGAGCAGGAAGCACACGAGCCTGGCACGGCGACTGCTACAGCTGGTGGTATTGGTGGGACGGAAGGCCCGCAAACACGCCGCAAGCGGACGAGCGTGATGCGCACGCGCAGTAGCCGACGCCAAGCCACGGACACCGGCGCCCACAGCTACACGGGCAACAACAACAACAACAATAGCAACGCGGCAACAGCGGCAACAGCGGCAACAGCGGCAACAGTGGCGCTGGAGGGTGCGTCACCGACGGTGATGTTGAACACACGCCCGCCAACGGTGCTCATCACGGCTGTGGACGATGCAACCAAGCAGCATGCCTCTCGCGTGTTTGCCCGCTTTGGCGTTGCGTGCAAGCTGGGGGCGGAGTTTGACATTGCGGCCACGCACCTTGTGTGCGGCGAGCCGGCGCGGAGCGAGAAGTTTCTGGGCGCATGCGCGCGCGGGCTGTGGGTGCTCAAGCCCTCGTACATCCAGGCGTGCGCGGATGCGAACGGGCTCGTGGACGAGGAGCCGTTTGAGTGGACGGCAAAGGACCCGACGGCCTCCGACGTGCAGCAGCTGGCGGGCACGCCGAAGCGGTGGCGGCTGGAGCTGCAGCGGCGACGGCAGCTGGACCCGGGCGTGCGCGGTGCCTTTGATGGCTGGGTGGTGGCGCTGTTCACGCGGCGGACGTATGCGGACGGGTTTCGACGCCTGCTGCAGGCTGGCGGCGCCAAAGTGGAGCTGTCGCAGGCCACGCTCAAGCCCGATGACGCCGAGCGCCTGACGCACGTGTTTGTGCAGCAGCGCACGCTGGAAAAGCACTGGACCAACCTGCAGGAGTTTATGACGGTGGCGCAGGAGCGCGTCAAGTGCCTGTCCTCGGAGTACATTGCCGACTACCTGGTGCGTGATCCACCGCCGGAGCAAGGCTCGGCGCGGTTTGCGGAGCTTGATCTGTACGCACGCCTTGTCCGGGACCAGGAGAACACCCACCACCTCCTCTCTTCCAGTCGCACTGGCAGCGGCACTGGCACTGGTACCGGTGGTGGTGGTGGTCGTAATGGTGCAAGTCGCCCAGCCTCCAAGCGCAGCAAGCGCGCGTGAGGTCTTTGCGGGTGTGTGTTGATAATTAAACGAGTCAGTGAGAGTGCGTGCGTGATTGAGGGGAGGGGAGGGAGGGAGCGTGGTTGAGCTGAGGGAAGGGAGAGGGAGAGGGAGATGCTCGACGCACACACACACACACACACACACACACACACACACACACACACGCACACATACACACGCACACACACACACACACACACACACACACACACACACACACACACACACACACACACACACATGAGCCTCGCACCGAGGCACTTGGTTTCTATCTATCTATCTATTGATTCACTTTTCTTTCTGTCTATGAGGCGCGTGCTCTCACACACATTCACCCATACGCACCGCTGCCCTTTGTTTTGCCGCAATTGCCTTCCCCATCTTTGAGCGCTGGGAGCAGTGTAAGATTTCAGCGAGTTTTCCCCAATAAACCACACACACACACACACACACACACACACACACACACACAGAGATACACACTCAAGGTTGGGAGGATTTGCCATATTTTCAAGCAGTTGTCGGCGTTTGGACGTGTTTGTGTCGGTTTTTGCCGCCCAAAGTGCAAAGCGCTTAACAGAAGGCACACCATCAGCAAGCAGCAAGCAGCAGGATGCACAATAGCGGCAGGAAGCGGCCTGTGGCGGCATTCGACAGGCGGCCGACCACCAGCACCAGCACCAGCAGACATAGTAGCATGAGCAGCAACCAAACCAGCAATAGCAACATTGGCGCCGCAGCGCCAAGGATCGACAAGTTTGTCTCCACCAGCGCTCGCCACACATCATCATCATCATCGTCATCATCATCAGCAGCAGCATCATCATCCAGCTCATCGACGGCAAAGCAACAGAGGCAGCGCACGCTGCCGTTTGCACCAAACACATCCTCCAACAGCCATCGTGGCAGATCCGCCATGCCACCCTCGAGGAAACCATTCAAGTCTTCGTCTTCGTCTTCGTCATCGTCTTCGTCATCGTCATCAGCTGCGTCGCGTGGGACGGGTGGCGTGCGCGCGTTTGGCCAAATCAAGGTGGTGGTGTCGCTGCTCAAGTCGTGCCGAGAAATACTCGTTGTCGTGCAGCCCTTCAGCACGGAAGTGAACGCCGTGGTGCGGGGCCTTGGCGGCACATATGATCGGGATCGCACCCCCGTCTCGGGCTGGGTCCTGCCGCTGCGCATGTACAAGACGCTGCTGACGAAGCTGCACGAGCTCACCGCCGTTGAGACGCGCATCACGGGCCTGCCGAAATGGGTGCTGGCAGCCATGCACTCGTCCACGTGGAACACGCTCGAACTGCTGCACTCCACCGTGACTCCGGAGCAGGCGTACGAGGCCCTGCAGGGCCGCGTGCCGCTGGAGCTGCTGCAGAAGCTGCTGCCGTACCAGCTGACGGGCGTGCTGTGTGCGGTGCGGCGCTCCGGGCGCATCCTGTGGTGCGATGAAATGGGGCTGGGCAAGACCGTGCAGGCGCTGGTCACGGCTCTGCACTACCGCAGCGAGTGGCCCCTGCTCATCGTGTGCCCGAGCAGCCTGAAGCTGACGTGGGCGAACGAGATCCACCGCTGGCTTGGCCTGGGCGAGGACGCGGTGCAAGTTGTGCAGAATGGGCGCGAGAAGCTCACGCACGCCGTGTGCATCCTCAGCTACGACCTGGCGCGCGGGCTGCGCACGCAGGTGCAGCAGCGCAAGTTCCGCGTCGTCATCGCCGACGAGGCCCACTACATCAAGAACAGGCAGGCGGCCCGCACAAAGGCGCTCGTGCCCGTGGTGCAGGACGCCAAGCGCGCCCTCCTGCTCTCCGGCACCCCAGCCCTCTCCAAGCCGATTGAGCTGTTCCAGCAGCTGCGCGCGCTGCGCCGCGACCTCTTCCGCGTGGAGATTGCGTTTGGTGAGCGATACTGCAACTCACACATGACCGCGTACGGGTGGTGCCACGACGGCTCCAGCAACGAGGAGGAGCTGCACACGCTGCTGCAGCGCACGGTGATGATTCGGCGCGACAAGAAGGGCGTGCTGTCCTCGCTCCCGCCAAAAACACGGCAGACGGTCGTTGTTGACTGCTCGGCCAAGCACCGCCGCGAAATCTCGCAGCTCATGAAGAAACGCTTCCACATGGACGCCGCTGCTGTCGCCGCTGGTCGTGGTGACGGCGAGATGCACGGCGTCACGCTCAAGCTGTTCCAGGCCACGGGGCAGGCCAAGCTGGCCGCATGCGTGACATATGTGCTGGAGCAGCTGGCGAAAGGGGTGAAGATGCTGCTGTTTGCGCACCACCAGCCCGTGATGGACGGGCTGATGCAGGCGCTGTGCGAAAAGAGCATCCGACACGTGCGCATTGACGGGTCCACACCATCGTCGCTACGTAATGAGCTGGCCACCCGCTTTCAGACGGACGAGACGTGCCGCGTGGCCCTACTCAGCATCACCGCCGCAGGCACGGGCCTCACGCTGCACGCTGCGACGCTGGTTGTGTTTGCAGAGCTGTTCTGGAACCCGGGGCAGCTGCTGCAGGCAGAGGACAGGGCGCACCGCGTGGGCCAGCAGTGCGCCGTGGACGTCAAGTACCTGATTTGCCGCAACACGCTGGACGAGAGCATGTGGGAGAAGGTGGAGCGCAAGATGGCGGTGGTGGGCAGGGCGGTCAAGGGCGCATCGGAGACCATGGGAGCCGAACGCACGGACACGCGCAAAACCAAGAAGAAAAGCGGGAAGAAGAAGAACAAGAACAAGAACAAGAACAAAGGTGGCGATGGTGACAGTGGTGGTGATGATGATGATGATGATGATGATGATGATGATGATGATGATGGTGATAGTGGTGATGATGATGATGATGGTAGGGGTGAGCAGAGGGAAGTTGGGCAGCGAGATTTGCTGTCGTTCTTTGAGACAGAGGGAGGAATGAGGCCAGCAAAAAGGGAGAAGAGGGACAAACAGGCATTTCCAGCAGAGGGCACGGGCAAAGGGTCGAACCACGGGGCAGCAAGCCAAGGGAGCAAGAAGGCGGCTGTGGTGGTGACGCTGGATAGTGATGGCGACGACGACGATTGCTTCTTAACCAACCCGGAAGTGGCCGTGGTCAAGAGGCCGCCGCTACCCCAAGAACAGGACCGGCAGCCATCAGGCGCCACGACAACAGAAGACCCACACGCGCACAAGCGCAGCAAGGTCGACAATGATGAGGAGCATGATGAGGATGATGATGATGATTATTTGTCAGCCATGCTGGCTGCGGTAGAGCAAGCAGAGGCAGGCCTCTCCTGATGTGTGTGTGTGTGTGTGTGTGTGTGTGTGTGTGTGTGTGTGTGTGTGTGTGTGTGTGTGTGTGCTCTGTCTCCAGCCCATGCGATACTCTATCTTCTTCGCCGTCACACATGCCGTTGGGTTATTTCACTTTCTCGGTTGTCTTTGAGATATGGATGCCATTTAAGCGATAGGAAGAAAGAAGCTCGATCATCAACAAGAGTCAAATTGATTGTCGTCGTCGACATGGATAACATCACGGGCGAGAGAAGAAGGGAACAGGAAGAGAGGGCCAATATATTCACAAGAAGAAACACGACAGTGCAGGAGTCGAAATACAGAGGAAGAAAGTAAGATGTAAGATCAAGATAAAGACCAGGGCGTCGTTGTTCCTTGAGACGCTCATCGATAGTCTGCCTTGCCAACGCCGCGCTTGCCCGTGTACAAGAACTTGGGCATCTTGACGTGGATGTGACGATCGGCCTCACCTGCATTTCGTACGCGAGTTGCGAAGCAAAGAGCGAGCGGGCGCAGGACGTGAGCGCGCAAGCGGAAAGCACATACAAAAGCAAACGTAAAAACACAGAGCAGATCATTCATGCCCACACGCACACGTGTGGTGTGTGTATGCGTGTACATGCAGTGCGACATGCGTACCTTGACGGCCCATGTAGTTGATCTTGCGGAACCCAAGGCGCTGCATCTTCTTCGACGCTTTCTTGAGCTGTTGTATGGAATGGGCAAAGCAAGGCAGTGAGTGAGAACGGCTGTCGCAAATCGGGGAAGGCACACTGCACAAAACAGGCCACAACCACCACACACACACATAACATACAAACGACAAGAACAGGCAGGTGCACAAGCTTCAAGTGGCTCACGCACCGTGCTGGACTGGACACCGCCAGCGGCACGGAGAGACACGGGCTTCTTGCGGCGAGCAGCGGCCTCGGGCGCAACGCCCTTGACCGTCTTCTTCGACTTGGCCCGCAGCGGTGTGCGTGATCGCGAGCGGGAGGCGGCGCGGGAGGCATCCTCATCCGCATCCATGGAGCGGCCGCGCGTGTCCTCGTCATAGTCGCTGTCGCCATCGTCGTCATCGGTAGCGTGTTTGGGCCGGTTGAGGCGCGCGAGGCGTCGCTCCTCGGCCTCTGCCAGCCGGCGGCGGATCTTAATCGGCAGCACAGGTGCATTGCGCTTGCTCTTGCGCTGGCTCGCAACACGGAACATGTTGCGGCGCTCGCGCAGCCTGCAGAAGAAGGGGCACAACAGAGAAACAAGCGGGAATGGCGTGTCAGAATGTATTGCAGAGGCTCTCACCATGAATGCACGGAAAATAAATGCCTATTTGCACCAAGCCTTATACACCATGAGAGCAAACAAACAAAACCTTGCAACAACAACATGCAGCTACAACAACACAAGCGGTGGAATACGTACAGCAATGCGCGGGCACGAACTGCCTTTGTGTCCTCGTCCTCACTCTCGCTGTCGTATTCACCGGCAGCCTTACGGCTCGCTTCTTCCTCCTGCAGACGCAAGCCACAAGCAAGAGCACAGCAGAGGGCAGTGGAAGGGGACATGTGAGAAGAGGGGCCAGTCACGCGGGGAAAACCTGACAGCAAAATCAAGCAACATCCATAGCGCCACGAGGACCAGCCAGGCCAGACAGATATGACGCTGCAGTATGCATGGTACGAGAACTAACCTCGAGCTGACGCAGCTTCTCGTCAATGTCGGGATCAACAAAGTCTGCGACGTTTTTGCCGTCGAGAATCTCTGGAATCTCGTCGTAGCGCCACGATGCGTCCTCCAGGTCCCACTCCTTGCGCAGATCCACGCTGTACTCCTCGCGAAGCTCCTCCTGCAAATCGCGCGCAAGCTTGCGCCTAAGCACATTACCACACAAGCAGAGGAGGGGAAGCAACGTGTGTGGCAGTGAGCGGCAGTGCAGAGCGAGCGGGGAGCTAACATGACAATACAACAGAAATAGTACATACAGGTTTCACAACGAATTTTGCACACACACGCACGCACGCAAACGCACTTTGGCATTTGTGCGAGGAGTTCCTTGCGCTCCTCATTGCGCTGCTTCTTCTGTTCGCGCTGTGTCCTGCCCTTGGTCGGGACGCGGCCCATGCGTTTGTTGAGCGCACCCTCGGGGATGAAGGCAGGTCTTGCCTGCGGAGGGGTGAGCAACAGCAGACAGACAAACCAAGCAAACATGGCGAGATCCGTTGGCGGTGAGCATTGAGCACCGGGACACAAAAGCAAGAATGACGCCGGAGAGACGTCGATAAAAGGCGAAAAGGTGAACGCATGCATCAGCCACGCGAAAGTCATCCACATAAAGTGTTCGGATTTCGAATTTCTGCATTTGGTGATTAGGCTCATCATTTGCATGCAAGGCAACGCCAGAGATACAGGCTTTGAGGGGGGAAGGGACAAATCGGACTGACGGCGAAACGAAACAAACCAAGAGAGGGAGTAGGTGGCAAGGGGGTAACACCACAAACAGGTGCTGGGCTGACCTTGTTGTCGCGGGGGCGGGGCAATGTAACGTTGAGTTTGTTGAGGGATGCCTGCATGGCAGGGTTCCTTGTCTTGGACTCGATACGGTATGTCATGAGCTTGTCGCAGGCTGCGTTCTTGACCTGCGCCACGCCCTCCTCTGTGAGCGTGCTCATGCTCAGCACGCTGATGCCCTCGGCCTCATACGCCTTCAGCCGCTCCTGCACCTCCGCCGGCGCATCCTCAATCTTCATCGTGTCAGCCTTGTTCACAATAATCGCCAGCGGCTGCCGTGGCAAACATGCAAACATTGGGTTGGGGTGGGGTGGGGGGTTGCGTGAGCGCGATGGCAAGCGGCAAGTGGAAGCAGTACGACGACAATCACCAACGTCACAGCTACTCGTCACAACCGTATCCAGAGCACACACACACACACACACCTTCTTTGCAAAGAGGGGCTTGATGTTCTCAAAGAGGGAAAACTGCTGCTCCACAGTGAAGCCGCACTGCTGGCTCAGGTCCATCACATACAGCACACACGCGCGCAGATGCGCAAGCGCCGTGATGGCCTGCATCTCAATCGTGTTGCGCTGCTCCAGCGGGTGGTCAAGGATACCTGGCGTATCAATCACCTTTATGGCAAAAGCACAAGCCACACGACACAAAACAGCATGCAGGTGAGAAGCTGTTCAATCAGTCGGGAAAAGAGAGAAAGAGAGAGTGTGTGTGTACGTGTGACACGCAACACTTTGGAACAAAATGACAATGTCACAGCATGAAGCGGTAATAGCGGCGCTCGGTTAGAAATAAACGCTCTAAAGGGTTTGTCATCAAGGAATTAGTCAGGAAACCGCAACCTTTGAATAATCGTCACCGCGCCGCCATTACCACTCAAGTGTGACAAAACGCAACAAGCGAAATAGAGGCGGAAAGAAAGAGTTCATTTTGTGGAAGCCAGGGAAAGGGCCGAACTCATCGCACATGTCCAAAGCAAGGTGTGCTCACAAAACACATAGGAGTGGATGCTCAGATATAAATAAACGCTCTAAAGGGTTTGTCATCAAGGAATTAGTCAGGAAACCGCAACCTTTGAATGATCATCACCGCATCCACACCATACGTGCTTCAAAGAGACACAGAGACGGGAAGCAAATCGAAAAGGGACAAAGCTGGTAATGTGGCGCACCGACGCGGAAAGGACAAGACGCACTGAGGAGCAAGCTTTGTGTGTGTGTGTGTGTGTGTGTGTCAGTAGGAATTACCTGCCAGCGGAGGTACTGGTAGTCTGTGTGTCCGACGAAGAGGGACTTGGTTGTAAACGCGTACGGCTGCACTTCAACATCTGCGCGCGTCACCTTGTTGACAAAGCTCGATTTGCCCACGTTCGGGAAGCCCGTCACAAGCAGCGTGCGCGTGTTGGGGTCGATCGAAGGCAGACGCGACAAATGCTGCCGCACCTGCTCAAGGTACTCCAGCGAGGACTTGTGTTTCCTCATTAGTGTGGCCATGCGACCAAGCGCGGCGCGCTTCAGCTGCTTGCAGCGGTACAATGAGTCGCCATACTTGAGCAACCGCACGTAGTCCTTGGCAAGGCTGTATGGTGTGTGCAGCGGGTGGTTGTGATGGCGATGGTGAACGTGAGAGCACGCAAGCACAGAACGTTTGAAGGGGAGAAGAGAAGACAAGTCAGAGAAGACGGTAAGGGGATTGGGGGGGGGCGGAGGAAGGAAGACCGAAGAGAAAGGAAGAAGAAGAAGAAGAAGAAGAAGAGAGAAGAAGAAGAAGAAGAAGAAGAAGAAGAAGAAGAAGAAGAAGAAGAAGAAGAAGAAGAAGAAGAAGAAGAAGAAGAAGAGAGAGAAGAAGAAGAAGAAGAAGAAGAGAGAGAGGAAGAGAAAGGGGAAGAAGAGAGAGAGAGAGAGAGAGAGAGAGAGAGAGAGAGAGAGAGAGAGAGAGAGAGAGAGAGAGAGAGAGAGAGAGAGAGAGAGAGAGAGAGAGAGAGAAGAGGGTGTTCGCACGTTGGGTAATGCTGATTGACCATGGGTGTTACTGATGATGAAAAGGACAACCAGCGACCATTAATCATGCTTTCGGTGTTGGCGCTGAAAAACTTTGACAACAAAGCCCACGAGACAACTGAAAAGGGACTTTGAAGCTTCGATGACACGCCGTGTGTGTGTGTGTGTTTTGGTTGGCAGGGGAGGAACAGAAAGGGAGGGGGTGGAGGAGAGGGAAGAAAGGGATGGAAGAAGAGGGAGAGGGAGATGGAGTGGGAAGAAAGGAGAAGTGCGAGACGAGGGAGAGGGAGATGGAAGAAAGGAGAAGTGCGAGGAGAGCAGGGAGGCGTGAAGAGGCTTTGAAACAGGCTGGAAAGCGTGCTTGGGTGTTTGACACACATGCACAAACATGCACACATGCAGAGCAGGGGCACAACGTACTTGTCAATCATGTGTTTGGCAGAGTTGATTTGGC